AACTGGACATCCCCAAAACAGACCACCCCGTCAGCGCGCACGCTCAATACAGGTCGACTCATTTACACTCAAACCCAAAAGATGGACACTCGACTTGTCAAAGACTCAAATCATGATCAACTCGAAATGGCCAGTTCAGTATTGAAGGGCGATATTGCCTGGACTCAATTTATGCGCACTGGAGATGTGTTAGAGCAATTTATGCGCACTGGAGATGTGTTAGAGCTAGGTCTTGGGCCGCTGAATGTCTCAGTGGCCTGTCAGTTTCGTGCCCTATTATCGCACAGTCACTTTCTGACTGTTTATCATCTTGTTACAGTCGTGGATAGTTGCTGCACAACTCGTTCTCATGTGTTTCTTCTCTTTTTTGCATATCTTTTTTAGGAACGGGTTTGCTCCTGATATCCACCATGGTAATACTAACATCAAGAGTACATAAAACTGGTTATGTACTCTTGCTAACATGAGCCTGCACATTATGGGTCACGTGTGTAATGAGCTGGCTTATATTCGGACGTTAACGTAATTGGTCGCGCCGAAATGGGGCGTGCAAGAGATGAGACGAGCTGTAGTGACACAGTGTCACATTAGGTCGCGCTGTACTGGGGGTGCTAATATGAACACGCGCCGTTTATGGTTGCGCTGTTTTGGGTGTAAATCGCACACGCACACGCACACACACACACACACTCATGTAAGAGAGTATTGTCTCCACGCCAATCAGTTCCAAACTATTAAATTGATAATAACTTGAAAACTTGATAACTTGAAAACTTCCGGTCCTCTCTTTCTAATTTTATTTCCTAATAGATTTGCAGTCCAAACGAGCACATGCCACGAGTACACTCATCGCTGCAGCAGCACAAGGCAGAGCACCTGGTGGCAGGCAAGTGGAGACTTACGGCAGTCTGACAGGTGGCTCCCATGTATCCAGAGGCACAGACGCAGTATCCAAGATCGGGATGGCACACACCGTTGGTACAGCTGCACAGACCCGAGCAAGCCAAGCACAGCCAGGTATGAATAGCACAGTGAGTTCAGTGAGTTGTGCAGTAGCGTACAATGATACTATTTCATATTCATCTACATGCAGCTTCTTGCCTTGCCAAGACGGTCTTGTTATCTTCACACTGTTTAGGTGTCATTTATCATTTTTTCCTTCAAAATTCAGAGCCCAAATGAACGCATTTCATTGATCCACGGGGTGCATGACACTGTACTGGGGCAAAGAGTGGTTCAGTCAATACCGTAGTGACCATGGGTTGTCCAACGCCTCGGCTGTATGTGTAGTTACAGATCGTTCCTAGGCTTTGTGCAGACTGGTTGTTGCAAGCAAGACTTACAGGCAGGTCTTGGTGCATCCCGGTCCCCACATGCCGGCGGGGCAGGACTGCTGGCAGAGCGGTCCCGTGTAGCCGTCATTGCACACACACTGGCCGGTGGCCGGGTCGCAGCTGTTGCTGGTGTTGACCGCGCAGGCCGGGCAGTGGCTGCTGCAGCCGAGGCCGTACTTGCCACCCTGATAGCCATCAGAGATACGGAGAGAGAGAGAGAGAGAGAGAGAGAGAGAGAGAGAGAGAGAGAGAGAGAGAGAGAGAGAGAGAGAGAGAGAGAGAGAGAGAGAGAGAGAGAGAGAGTTGCCCAGATACTTGAGGAGTAATCTCAGTGTACATGTAATTTGCAGGAATATTTATATGAAGCTCGATGCCAGATTTTAGGATACTGTGTAAAATTCTATATGGAGAAAAACACTTCTCCGGGGGCTATCATGAGTGACTACGTACACAGCGCAGCAGATAGTATAACAGCAGTTTAGTACATACAGTCGACCTACCCTTATAACGATAACCTCTATAACGATATTACCCTTATAACGATATTTATCTGCCAAACCAAATCACTCCATTGACTTGTGTATATAATGCATTACCTCTATAACAATATTGCTATAACGATATTACCCCTATAACAATATAAAATGGGCTGACCAATCGACATTTTCCATTTTATATTAATATCTAGCAGGGAATACGTAGAGCCCTCTATCCAGGTAGGGCAAGTTTCTCTTGATAAGTTGCTGGAAAATGACGAAATGCAATGGGGGCAGCAGTGGGCACCTTGCTGTGTACATAATGTGAATCTACATGTACGTCAGTTTTTTATGCTATGAAGAGTGTAAAAAATGGACAAAATCCATGCATTATGACGTATGTGTATAAAATGAACCAGTTACCCCTATAACAATATTACCCTTATAACAATATTTCTTGGTCGGACGCAAATATCGTTATAAGGGTAGGTCGACTGTAGCAGATTTGGTGGATTTTTTTAACAGCACAGTGACATTTTTTCTTCTGTCCGGGATGATTTGTGATCAGCACTCCACCGAAGATAGTCGCGCAAGCACAATAATTAGAATTTTTGTACACCTGGTATGCACCTTGCATAGACTTCAATCATATGTGGTTCTTACAGGGCAGTTCTGGTCACACCTCGCACCAGTCTTGCCAGGAGTCGTGCACGTGCACGCACCGTTGGTGATGTTGCAGGAGGCGCCGGTGGGGCAGTTACAGAACTGGCTGCAAGCCTTGCCCCAGAAGCCTGCATGCACACACACACACACGTGCGCACACACACACACACGTGCACACACACACACACACACACACACACACACACACACAGGACACAGGGAGATGTCAATACAGAGAGAGACGACACACTCGGTTACCTAACTGCACATTGGTATACATTTCAAGCCGTTCAACATGTGGGGTTGATCCCAATGCCATACATACTACATCCAAAGTAGTGAAGTGGGAACGTCTTGCTAGTACAACACAACCCTGGCATCAGATCTCGTCACAGTGAAGAAAGAAAGAGAGAGAGAGAGAGAGAGAGAGAGAGAGAGAGAGAGAGAGAGAGAGAGAGAGAGAGAGAGAGAGAAAGAGAGAGATGGGGATTAGAGTAGGAGAAGGGTAGTCGCACATGTGACTAGATACCACGGGAATTGTGTCATATTGCACAAGAGTTAGTGCCTTGGATCTCGGGACAGACACATCTACAGCCCAGCGGTGGTATTGAGCCCTGAGTAAAATGATAACAAATTCACAAAATCACGTCACAGTTGCTTTCTCACTAAATTCAAAGAATACACCATGATGTCATCATGACGTCATACGTATAGCCTGTATAATCAACGTACCGACGGTACATGGGTTGGTGCAGTTGACACCGGTATAGCCCGGAGTACATTCGCAGGCACCGCTGATCGCGTTGCAGTTGCCGAAGATACAGGTGCCGCACTGGTTGGCGCAGCTCGGTCCCCAAGTGCCCGCGGTGCAGTGCGTGTCGCAGCTGGTGCCTTGGTATCCGGCTAGGCACGTGCATGCTCCGGTTTTCTGCACAAACGCGTGGAGAACGTCCGCAAGATCACAGCGGAGTCAAGTTAGAAATCATGGACGGATGGCTTGTGCGGTACCGCCAACAGCGCAAAACACATGCACTGGCAAACAGGTTGAGGTTATTGTTATCGCAGGTAAGGGTCATTGTTACTGGGTGTTGTGCTGATATTTTTCAACTTTCTGCCATTCTAAGAATTCATGTGGAGAAAAAGGTTCCTAGGATTAATTCATGCCAATAAAATATTTTAGGATTAAATACTGGGGAGATATTCCTACGATTAGAATGTTGTGAAAAGGCTCTTCGGGTTAATGCAGAGGAAAAGGAGGTAGAATTTCATAGATGAAATTGTGTTTTACCCATTGAGAGACAGGGGAGGGGTACACGTGCTAACGATGCACCTCCTTAGATTCACTCATGCACACGCAAACACGGGCTCCCATCAAGACTTCACCCGCTAATCTACGCCCCCAGAAGGCCCTGTCAAGGCCCCACACTGCCACGTACCGCGTCGCAAGTTGCTCCATTTTGACAGCCGCAGGTCAGCGCACAGTTGTAGCCATACGTTCCGGCTCCGCAAGCTGCATCGCACGTCGGACCATGGAATCCTGGCAGGCAGTCGCAGTTACCATTCACAGAGTGGCAAGAGCCTCCGTTCTTGCAGCCGCACATGCCGAGACAACCCGCGCCATGCGATCCTGCTGGGCACTGGAAGATGACAGGTTGACAACAATATGAAAATGCTGCAAAGCGGCATATGTACTAAAAGCATTGATTATCGCACACTACCGTAAGAGAATGCTCATGTTTGCAAGCTGCAACATCATTGAAACCACAAAGTAGAGATTTCCGGCCCTGAGACAGAGCTCCAGTGCTGTGGCCACATTGGCCAACTCGGATCATGTATCATTAGGAGCGGATCCGCTATTCACTTGAGGGCTCAAGAGGTGTCTTGCCAACTTATCGCCGATGGAAATGTATGAACAGCAGCTACTCGGCGTGTTTACCGTTAGAATGCATTGGGAAGGAGGGTGTATGCGTACAAAAAAAAAGTAAATTATCGCGTCCGTTCCCAAAGGGAACTCACGACGGCCGCTAACACCCGGTAAACCCAGTAAACCGTAGCGGCAGATGCAACGCCTAACGGGGGGGGGGGGGGGGGGTGAGGGAAACAGGTAACTAGTTATCTATTATAGATTGGGAGTTGAACGCTATGAGTGAGCTTCACTCGGCATTCAGAGTGTGGGACTTACGGCAGTTGCGCAGAGGAGGCCACCGAATCCGGAGTTGCAAGTACATGCACCGGTGGCCGAATTGTACGATGCCGTGTTGGCGATGGTACACTTGATAGTGCTGCGGCAGCCTATGCCGTACTTGCCGTACGGGGTTGTGGTGTTGCAGGCCGTACCGCAGTCAGAACCAGTCCATCCAGCCTGCGCAGGTAGAGCAAAGATCAGTTGCACAATGCTGACGATGTAACGAGAGAACTTGGAAGCTCAGGGCCCTACGCTATGCTTTTTTGCCTTGATGACCTAGACAAAAAAAGCATAGGGATGATATAAATTCTTAAAAAAAATCCTTTTTTTAAGACATAACCT